TATTAAAAGTATAATTACACATGACAATTTTATTTGCGAGCTATTTAATTGTCATATGTGCTGTCCCAAATGGCCCCTTTATTTTTCAAAACACATTTCAGTTCTATGCCAGCATGAATTATTATCACGTCGGTATGTTTCCTCTGGCCTTTTATTGAATTTATATTCAGTTCTTTCTTTAAGTACAATCTTACTTCCTTGAAATTGTTTCTGCAAAATAAGAAAATATCAAAATAAATTATACATTTAAAACATTATTAATTAATTAATCCCTATGGTGAGCCACTTTTGCCTTATCCTAGAAAACTAGAAACCACTCCCATTATTTTTCCCAGGAATACAAAGCAATTCACGGCAATTAAATAAAGTAAACTGTGGGGAGATATGATCAATTTCCTTCTGAAAGGACTTGCCATTTTTAAGAATAATATATTATTAAAAATAAATAAGTTTTTTTTTTATGGCTGTCAAATATATACAGTGGTGAACATAAGTATTCGATAGATACCATAAAAAAACAGTTTATTGCATTATTTACCTTCAGGTATAACAAGTATTTTCTCCAAAAGTATTGCACATACAGGTTTCATATTACAAATTGAAATCTATTTCAACAGATACATTTTTTTTTTTTTTTAAGCATTACGCCCCGAGCAAGGCGTGAAGCCACTAGGATGCAGGGGGTTGCAGAAGATTTGGAGCAAGAGCAGATAGGAGTGATAGAAGAAAGGACGAGGAGAGGGATAGTGGATAGATCAAGTTAACTGGAGATATCGATTGACATTACATTTAAATAGTTAGAGATTATAGCTCTCAGGGAAACAGTAATTTTGGAAGGGTGTTCCACAGGCGAGAGGTGCGAGGTAGGAAGCTATTGGAGTTGAAGAGACGGCTTCATTTAAAAGTTTCTACTGTGTAAGGGTGGGAGCGGGATGCCAGCCTCGTAGGGCGCTTGAATTCATGGAGTCTGGGAACCAGTGAAAGCAGCTCATCGGAGCAATTACCATGAAAGTATTTGTAGAAAAGACAGAGAGACGCGACGGTGCGTCTGTGGGAGAGTGACTGTAGACGAGGCGCCAGATCAGGGCCAATTATATTATATATCCGTCTCTGGATCTTGTCAAGAACTCCGAGGTAAACAGAAGGTGCCCCAGACCATGAATGGCAGCAATACTCCATGCAAGGGCGAATGGTTGATTTGTATATTTGAAGTATCGATATAAAATTATAAAAGGTATATTTAAAAAAAAGATGAAACGTAAAAGTATTCAACACTGTACACAAAGCAGGATCAGAGAGACTAATACCTTATGAAACAGAATTTGTTTACAAACACAGCTTCCAATTATTTTTGATAATTAGTTTCGAACATAGTTATGATGGCGTTTTAAACCATTCTTAATGGCAGATCTACTTGAGTTCATTCAAATTACTTGGCTGATGGGTTTGGACACAAATTATTAATCGGTTGAAAGTCAAAGGAACTGACAGGGTAAATTCAACAGGTAGATTTAAGTATCTGAGAAATCAGAAGACAGAAAGTGTGACAGATATCTGAAGGCATATTGGGATAATGAAAGATGCCTCCAAAAGCTAAAGAAACAGGAAAACATTTTTATTAGAAACAAAGAAAAGAACTGTTACGTAATATCAGTCCTCCTATATGACAGTGAATGCTGGACAATCTCCTCAAAGATGAAGAAGAGGCAACAGAAATGTGGTTTTAAAGAAGGAAGCTGAGAATATCATGCGTTGAACATGTGAGCAATGACAAAGTTTTAGCGAAAATGGAAATTGAAAGGATATTTATACTTAACAAAGAGAAAGAAGGCACTTAACGAGGAAAGAGGGCTTTGAAAATTTGATACTCACAGGACAGCTTGAAAGCAACAGGTACAGAAAAAAAACAACTCATAACTTACCTAGCAAGCTTGCTTGAACTGCAAGTTGGTTCAGGAGACATAACAAAAAGACAATTTTTTTCAAGAGCTAGAATGGACTGGAAATCGTGGAGAGCCATGACATCTACATTCGTCACTAAGGTTCCTTCTTCTACTTCTTCTTCGTGTCGCTTCAGAACAATGACGACCATCTCTGTGCACAACTTCCTGTCTATTGTAGCTCTTAATAAATGCTGTCTTTTTGATAACTCTCCTGAACCTTGCTTCGCCATTTATTTACTCGCTAGGTAGTCTATGCGTTTACCGTTGATAAGTCATCTTACATGTTTCTGTCTGTGGTCTTTCTTATGAAAGCTTATCGTTCTTTTAAAAAGTAAGGGAGTACATATGAAAAGATTTGAAATTGATATTTTTTCTTTCATTTCACTGAAAAGACGTTAAACAATTCTATCTTTCCTTTTTTCTTTCTTTGTTCCTTTCTTTATTTTCTTTTTCTCACTGAAACCAAGTAGTGTCTTTTTCCCTTTTCACACGCGATCAAAACGAAACAGTCCATTATTTATGAGGCATTGGTGGAAGACATTAAACACTTCTATCTTTCCTTCTTTCTTTCTTTCTTTCTTTCTTTCTTTGTTTTTTTTCTTTATTTTCTTTTTATCACTGAAACCAAGTAGTGTCATTTTCCCTTTTCACACCCGATCAAAATGAAACAGTCCATTATTTATGAGGCATTGTCAGAAAACGTAAAACACTTCTATCTCCTTTTCTTTTTCTTTCTTCCTTCCCTTCTTTTCATCAAGTAATATCTTTTCTCCGTTTTCTGCGCAGTCAAAACAAAATTGTCCATTATTTATGAGATATTGGCATGGCGTAACGGTCGTGCAAACTAACGAAGCGAGGAACAAAAACATTTATAATAGGATTGTTCCTATTTGGTCACTGTTTTATTACGATCAATCAATATCGCTAAAATATTGTATTACCCTTGTGAGTTCATGGCAAGTATTACACGTATAAAAGTTAGAACATATATTAATAACTATATTATACATATTAATTTATAATATGATTGGCAACACTGAAGTTGCATAAAAAAATCTTACGCCAAGAAATAAGTTATTGAAAATATTTCTTATAATTTCATTTTTCATGTTGTAATCTTGTAAGTTGAAATTCGCCGAGCATATTTATCACAGGAATATAAATGTAATAGTCGTTGTAACTTTCGTAATGCTCGTTGTAGTAGAGACTTTGTAATCGCAGATACAACTATAGTAACGCTGTTGAACAATACCGGTGTCAGATGCCTTCGAACACTCGAACTAATAGTACTTTCTCGATAATACTTGCTCTAATAGTAACCCGCATAGTGATAAACTAGAAATGCGATCATCCTCTATGGTCACGTGATCTGCTTAATTCAATAATGGATTCGCCTGTGTTTGCTCACTAGCGATCTATGTTTAAACTCAAGTGTCAGTAGCAACACTTTATTCCTCTATAACAGAAACCATTTCCCACAAGAGTTCCGTCTGTTAGTACGTTCGCTCTCTGACCCTGAGACCCACGTTCAAATCTCACCATAATCGATTTATCAGGAAGGCGATTTCCTGGCGTTATAGGACTAGATCGAGGTCGATCCCATCATGAGGCACCTTTGAAAAGTGCCTGAAAACCATACCACGGAATGAATGACCCAAGCCGTGTGTTTGAAATTGTTAGACGGATATATATATATATATATATATATATATATATATATATATATATATATATATATATATCGTGGCTGTCCTCTCGGTTTCGAGTGTGACCACCTCCTTTATTTCATGTCCTCACCCCCTCCCACTGCCCTCAAATTCTATGTATTCGCAGGTGACTCTTTAGGCCAGCCAAACTGCGACAAATTTTGCCACAGAATTGGCATACCCGATCAGTTTTGTTTACAGTGACATTATTCGGGTGCACAGTAGGTTTTGCACATTTACGCAAATGGCTTTTGAAGGCGGCAAAAGATAGGCACAATTTTCCGCATATGTCACAATTAACGTGGTGAATTTGTGGATTCGGTGCTGGACCCTGTTCGCCTTTACGAATCAGACGTTTATAGGCACTGTACTGCATACGGCTATTCTCAAAGGACTCAATGCCTTCGTGTGTATATATATATATATATATATATATATATATATATATATATATATATATATATATATATATATACTCATACAGGGTGTAAATTGTCACTATTTCATCTTTTTCATTTCGTGCATATATGTTGTTTGTATTGATTTTGTAGATTTTTGTTGAGTATTGTAGCGTCATTTCGGTCACCGACTGCGAGAAGGAGACCAACATGATGCATTACATACCTCCATAAAATGGAAACGACAGGTTGTACCGCTTGGCTTTCGCGCCGCAAGGTCCAATACGAATATTTCAGCGTGTATACGTGCCCTATCTGAGGACAGTGCAGATAATTTGGAAAGAGTTGGATGAGTCTGATTGCGAAGGTATGGCAGCTCAGAAAACTCGCTCTGATCGTTCTGATAAGCAAATAATTCACTCATTTGTCGGTGAGAAGCTCAACTCTACAAAGGGGGGGGGCTACATCAAGTACCTTGAGGAGGTATTACTGCCCTGAGTCAAGAGGGCTGCAGCTGGAGGAGCATATGTATATGTACGGCAACAGGACACTGCAACATACCATAGAAGCAGGAGAACCAAGTCATGACTGTCAATCAATTTCTGTGACACAACAGCGCTTACTTCTGACCACCTACTACACAGACTGCACCCCTTTGATTATTATCTGTGGGATGCGGTGAAGCGTGAGACCAACAGAACTACTTCTGGCACCAAAGATGAACTGAAGGCAAGGATTATGGAAGCATTTACTAATTTAAATAAGGACACCGTCCAATAGAGTTGCAGGAGATTCCGAAGTTGTCTGGAGGCTTTGGTTGAAGGCAATAGCGATTTTATTGAATAAATTTTACGTTTTACTTTTAGTATTGCAATATATTTTTGTGTAATGTTGTTAAATGTATCAGCTAAATTGAAATGCCTGTGTTAATATCATTATTCCGTAATTTAGACCACATAAATAGATCGATAGATAGCAACAAACTGATAGATAGATAGATAGATAGATAGATAGATAGATAGAAAGGAAATATCAAGAAGGAGGGAAATTATGTAAAATATAGATGGAGAGAGAGAGAGAGAGAGAGAAGGATATGAAGACTGATATAGAGGTGACAGCAACCTAAATAGCTATATAGTAAGAAATTAATGGATCCGTTTGAAGTTAGGTATGTGCATTGAAAGAAAGAAAGAAACAAACACAAAAAGAAAGAAAGATAAAATGAAAGAAATGAAAGAAAAAAGAAAGAAAGAAAGAAAGAAAGAAAAGAAAGAAAGAAAGAAAGAAAGAAAGAAAGAAAGAAAGGAAGAAATAGAGGAAAGAAGACAGAAAGAAAGAATGAATGAAAGAAAGAAAGAAAGAAAGAAAGAAAGAATGTAAAAGAAGAAAATCAGGATGAACTGACAAATGAATTTATGGAGAGGTATATTGAGAAAGTTTTGTTAGATAAATCTGAATAAAATTATATATATATATATATATATATATAGTGATTTTCCAAGCATAGATTAGATGTAGCACAAGGCCGATATATATATATATATATATATATATATATATATATATGTGTGTGTGTGTGTGTGTGTGTGTGTGTGTGTTTTATATATATATATATATATATATATATATATATATATATATATATATATAAGTAGTGAGGTAAATTGATAGAGAGAGAGAGAGAGAGAGAGAGAGAGAGAGAGAAGGGAGGAGAGAGAGAGAGATGTGTACATATTAAGATAAATAGCTACCCTAGGTAATCTGAGTTTTATAAATACAAAACAACCAAATGATTTCTGCTTCCGGATTTAATTTCAGAATTCGGCTTTTGTTATTTAAGTATATAAATAAATAGCGACTTAGCATTTTTAAATATAAACTCAGTTTCTCGTATTTATTGTAAATTCTAAAACAAATATTAAAATAACATAAATGATAAATTTTACATTTCCTTTTAAGATTCCATGTTGCCTAGCAACTTATCCGAGCATTTCAATAAAGCCCTATCCTCCACCTAATAAATTCGCGTGCAATGACAAAAACAAAACAACAAGAGCAACAACAAAAACAACGCCATTGTTATTCGGATATTGCTCTTCTGTTTATTTATCTTTATAAAGCGTTTTGCATTCGGGGATACATTTAAACACACGATCTGATGTCGTGCAATGCTACCCCCGCACACGCACACAAACGACCCCTATATAAAAGTTCCATCTAAAACTCGACAAAGATAAACATATATAAGATATGTGTGTGTGTGTGTGTGTGTGTCCGCAAAAAAAAAGCATAGTAAAATCATTAGATGGGTCATCTCTACACACACACACACATACGCACACACACACACATACGCACACACACACATATATATATATATGCTTTGAACAATAAAAAATATTGAGAAATTAAAAGTTTCAAATTTTCAGACACACTGAATTGTATATTAATAATTTTTTCATTTATTATTTCAATTAGATTCCTTGACTAGACTCGGCCAGTATGGCGATCATCAGGAGAAAAAAATATGCTTGTTAATAGCAGTGAACTACGGGAATTAAGATCTGTTATATATATATATATATATATATATATATATATATATATATATATGTATGTATGTGAGTGTGTTTACGTGTGTGTGTTGTGTGTGTGTGTGTGTGTGTGTGTGTGTAGAGATATCCCATCTAATGATTTTACTATGCTTTTTTTTTTTGCGGACACACACACATAACTTTTAATATCGTGTACGTGAGTATTGTTTATACGAATATTTCGTGTCGATTTAAACTTGATAGCGCAATTTGACACATAAAATATTAGTTTAATGAATTGGATGTGCCAACTGATAAGGAAAACGTTCAAAATAATAGGAGTCTTCAAGATTTTATATTTAATATTACATTTCATTCAAATACATCTATAATTAATTTCTGGTAGCGATGCGAAATAGAGCCCTTATCCGAACGTGGACCATACATTCTCTTCTCCGATGTCTGAGTAACTGCCGATCTGCTCACTGAATTGCCTGTATATATATATATATATATATATATACACAGTGCAACCTCGGTTTTCGAACGTCTCACATGTCGGAATATTTTCTTGAATCGACCGCCGTGTTGTATACATTCGTGTGTTGTGGCGTGCTTTTCCTTTCCAAACTTATCTTATCTTATCCGAACGTGGGCCATACATTCTCTTCTCCGATGTCTGAGTAACTGCCGACCTGCTCACTGAATTGCCTCGTGTGTTGTGGCGTGCTTTTCTTTTCCAATATTATTGTACTGTGATTTTTGTCTCTGCATTAATTACTATTGAAAAAAATAGTCTCGGTTTACGAACATTTCGGATTACGAACGGTCTTCAGGATCGAATTAAATTCGTTAACCGATGTGTCTGTCATGTAGAACATTCCCAGGCTCGTAAACCAACTTCTAGTTTTGAGGTCACGTAATTCCTCCAGGTGACTCTTTTGTCTATGATTTTTCTGTTGTTTGTATTTTCCAGTGTTTAAGCAGACCTCATGTGTATCACGCGTATTGCGTTCCTGTCATGCAATGTTCGTGTTTATAATTCATGTATGCATATGTATATAATTTTATTTAGTCTATTCTAGATTCGGATCATGATTGTTTTCTTTTGCGCACGAGTCTGTATTTGAGTATATAGTAGTCATTTTAATCTATGTTTTTTAGTTGTCCGTGTGTTGATTTCGGGAGGTTTTGTGTGAGAGTGAAATAATTTGAGTTACACTTGTTGTGGTTGTAAGTAGATACGATAAGACGATTCACGATGAGACCTATTTGCCAGTCTAGAGGTACGCTTAAATTCATACGGTACGGAAGGGGGGAAAATTGTTAGAAGAACTGCCATGAAATATTTATAGAAAAGACTAAAGGATGCTACGGCACAGCAATACGATAAGTTCTGTTCTCGGAGAATCGAGTTCCACTTTCAGTTGTGATCCTTATATTCACTTACATGCAAATAACCATGGCAAAGGTATGAATCCAGTTCTAATATCCCCAGCTATGGGTTAATTAGTGCGAAATATCATTATTATCTCCAAGAAATTTTGGGGGGCTTTAAATTACCTGAAATGCGTTGATGAGTCGTAGAAAATCAATCAATCAAGCCAATCACAAACTCTAATATATATATTACCTTACCTAATATATATATTACCTTACCCTGACTTGACATCTACGAATGTAACTCTATAGTGATACAAATTATTAACACCCTTCACCCCTTTCTATTTAAACAATCGCTCTAGCCGTTACCATGGAAATTTTGATTTCAATAATGAATATGCTATTAAAACACGTAAATTTCAGAAATAAGTTGTTCAAAAGAAAATTTCGCTTGAAGATGGAAGAGAGCTTACTTTAATTCAATTTAATTCAAATAATTATATTGAAGTTTTCGGCTCTTGTTTTGAAACATGAGAACTTTTATGTAGCGTGTTGGAATCATATTTTTAAATAAATAAATAATTATATATATATATATATATATATATAGCAAAATATCCAAAATTATCTCATCTGGGTATGCACACACATGAGGTTATTTTGGATTTTTTGCTGTATAAAATCTATGCTCTGTTATAATAAATACATTGAGCTCTGTCTGTGTATCAGTTTTAATATCTAATCTTACTAGGATCCACCTGGATTATATACCAATGAATCTATTACCTGTACTATATATATATATATATATGTGTGTGTGTGTGTGTGTGTGTGTGTGTGTGTGTGTGTGTGTGTTAAATCCTCCACCACTTAATAAAATAATCTACTATAAGGAATCTAAATTCATTTACATACAAGTAAAAGCTTTGGTCATAAATAAACTCCCAACCTCGGCCCATCTTCTTGTCACCAACCCAGACACCTTATCAAAACGATGCCGCCCCGTACATTGTCACCAACTGCTATCTAAACTAAATAAAATAAAATAAAAACATCCCGAAAGAGGAGACGCCTGATGAAGACTGGCATATAGCAGTGCTAGTCTGATATAGACTATAATCACATGAGGTAAATTTTGATTTTTTCATATATATATATATATATATATATATATATATATATATATATATATATAGATCAAAGAATTCTGAATTTTGCGTAATATAACTCATGAATTATTTAAGTGCGATAATTGTCATGAAGAGACACGGCAAATATTAGTTTGGTGCGAAAATAATGACGTAATAATGTCGTTTTTTGACTTTAAAATATAAGTTAAAAAATGACATTATTACGTCATTATTTTTGCACCAACCTAATAGAAGATCATTATTATAATTATTAGGTTGGAGCAAAAATAATGACGTAATAATGTCGTTTTTTGACTTTAAAAAAATACGTCAAAAAACGACATTATCACGTCATTATTTTTGCACCACCCTAATAATAGTAGTAGTACAATGCCCTAATGTTGAGCCTAGCATGTGTCTTCTTATGCCTTCTGATATTAAATGATTGGTGCATATTCTGTCTGGAGTTAAGATTGCACACGTTCTAAAGGGCCACGGCAAATTGAAAAAAGAAGATATTCAATTCCTTTTTTTTTTCACATTCATTTTCATTTTTTTTTAAATCTTTCGTGTATCTTTTCTTCATTTCCGCCCTTCCGTATTCTCAACTATTCATTCTGACTTTATATCCATTTTTTTTATTTCATTATCTGATTCATTTTTCATAATGAAAACACATTACTATTTTCTTTATTTCCATCTCTATTTGCAGAAAAGCTCATTAATTCTTCCCACTTGTTCAAAATGCGCGCGATTTATAATTCAACCATTTTTTTAACCACTTCTGTGTTTTTTTCTTTCGAAATTTATTTTCCTTATTCTCGATCCATTCTTCATTATTGTATTCATCTGTCACTTTTTTTTAAAAAAAAAAAACATTCCGCTTTTATCAATCATTCATTTTTTCTTCCCATTTAAAGAACGAATTGTATTTAATTCAAAACCATTAATCACACTTGATTTTTTCCCCCTTTTCATTTCCAACTTTTCTATTTCTCATATGAAATACTACGGTCGTCTTCCAAAGTATTTCCTTTAAAATTTAAGTAATTTATTTAAATTTTGTCATATTCACTACCCATTAATTATCAAGAATATATGTTGAAAGGAAACGTGAAATAATGAAAACAAAAGAACTAATTAAATACAGCACAGTTAAACACGAACGAAAAGCAAACACGGAAAATTGTGTAGATCTCAAATAGTATAATTAAAAAAATGTTTTCTTGTCTCTAGACAACCGTACGGTTTTATGTCGAAGCATCAATATTGACGTTCCAGTTCCAGGGGAATGTTTAACATAAAACATCTTTCATATATTTTTGGAAGTGAAGAAACAATCAGTTTTACCTCATTTTTATTACGCAGAAACATATTTTCAGGTAATCTTACTTATTATAAAATGCAGATTGTGTGTGTGTGTGTGTGTGTCTGTACGTTTATATACTGGATCGGATTTCCTACATTTTTCAACCGATTTCAACAAAACTTCACAGGACTACGTAAAATTACCTTGTGTTGGTTCTAACAGCGCCAAAAATGGGAAAAATACAATTGTTGTTGTACGAAATCAATTTGCAAACACGATAAAACAACATTCTGTCGCCAGAATGAAAGGGGAACAACTCATATCGAGTTATACTTATTATAAAACCCAGGTTATTTGTGTGCGTGTGTGTGTGTGTGTGTGTGTGTGTGTGTGTGTGTGTGTGTGTGTGTTCGTTTATATATGGGATCAAATTTCCTACATTTTTCAACCGATTTCAACAAAACTTCACTTTTTTTGGCAGGTAGTGTTTTTTATTGTCTTGCACACTTTTTTTTTTTATTTTACATTCAGAATGCTTTAAAAATTCCATTTACAAGACAATTGTTTATAATAAAATTCTATTCAATCGGTATACTCATAACGACTGAAAACAATGTTTTTGTTTGAGTTTGGGTTTGAGCAATTCGTAAAAAAAAAAAAAAAAAAAAAAAACTAATTAAGACATGCGTGTCCGTCAACCTTAAACAATAATCTTTGTCAATTTTATTTTTCAGTCTTTATGATGGTCGATATTGATCTATCTCTTACTGTTACATCCCAGGGCAATGCCGGGCTCTACTGCTAGTATTTACTATTTCCAACCATCGATCTAAGAATCTAATTTATTTTATTTTATTATTAATATCCAGTAAATAATATAGTGAGATTTGAAAAGACAAGCTTTCTACAAAATATTCCTAGTATTTCTTTTTCATTAGAATTTTATTAGAAACATTTTTCTTTTCGTTTTTATTTTAGACGGATCTGTAACATTAGGGTGATTAAAAACTATTTACAATACTTGCGAGTGCTTCTTTATATTCATCGAAATTATATGCTAACTCAGACACAATTGTATTTGAGTGATTCATTTTCTACGGCTAATCAACCCTTTTCATGTTATTTAAAGCCAGAAAGTAACTTTTCAAATTTTGACAGCTTTTGATGTGAAATAATGATGGTTTTAGAAAATACATGCCTTACTAATTAACCCATATCTAGGGGAGTGTAGCGATGGATTCGTACCTTTCCCAACGGTATTTGGGGGTATTGGAACTTGATTATCAGATTAATAATTCAGCGGCATTATCCATTAACCAAACCGCACATCCAAGATTATAGAACGAGGCCACACCCTGCCTTGTGAGGAGGTCTCGGGTAAATACCGATGATTTAACGGTTAATCGTTACTCTGCTTGTCGACTCTCTTCCTTCGAGTGGAGATGAACTCAGACAAGGCTATGCCTACGGGTAGAGTCTATTCTGGGGAGGCAGACAGCTGCTCGACGGCCTTCTATGCGGGGTCTACGGAGGATTTCTGTTCGAGCGTACGCGCTAGGAAAATCGCACGTTAAAAAACTGGCCTTGTGATACATTCCGCCTTGTGAGTTCACGATTAATCGTTACTCTGCTTGTCGACTCACTTGCTTCAAGCGGAGAGGAACTCAGACAAGGCTATACTTACGGGCAAAGTCTATTCTGGGGTGGTAGACAGCTGCTCGATAGCCTTCTATGCGGGGTCTATGGAGAATTTCTCTCCGAGCGTACGCGCTAGGAAAATCGCACGTAAAAACTGGCCTTGCTCCACATCCCTCCTTGTGAGGACGTTTCGGATAAATGCCGATGAGTTAACGATTAATCCTTACTCTGCTTGTCGGTTCTCTTTCTTCAGGCGGGGTGGAACTCAAACAAGACTATGCCTACGAGCAGAGTATATTCTGGGGAGGAGAAAGCTGATTGACAGCCGTCTATGCGGGGTCTACGGAGAATTTTGCCCGAGCGTACGCGCTAGGAAAATCGCACGTTAAAAACTGTCCACATTTTGCCTTGTGAGGATGTCTCGGGTAAATCACGATAAATCGTTACTCTGCTTGACGACCCTCTTCCTTCAGGTGGAAAGGAACTCAGACGAAACTATGCCCACGGGAAGAGTCTATTCTGGGGAGGTCGACAGCTGCTTGACAGCCGTCTATGCCGAGACTAGGAAATTCTCACGTTAAAAACTGGCCTTGTGCCTTTATTACATTAAAAAAAACTGGCCTTGTTTTTTTATTACATTAATCTGTGTTCTGAACCGTGTAATATATTATTCTCCGGAATAAACCACTTCTTGTTTTCTTACATCAAACTTCCTTATTTACGACCCAACAAAAACTATGACCTCCAACGTTCTTAAGGAAAACACTATATAAAAAATGAAATGCCATGGAACCATGTTGACAAACATTATGCTTAAAATACAAATCTTATAACACCAAAAAATTTAATCGTTGTCAAAATATCTGAAATGATATTTATTATTTTCCGTTGTCCTAATGTCTTCAGGTTTGCTTTGATCTCTACACTATTTCGGAAGTTGAGTTATTCGCCCTTAATCAGATAAGCTGTGGAACCAGGTAACGAATATAATAAATCTAGGATTTGTTTCAGCGCCATATTTAACTAGGTCGGCTCATGTCGGTTAAAATTATGCCTTGCAATCACACACGCCCCATCGTTATCGACTGCATTTCGCATTTCGTGTTTTACATCTTCCAATTAATTTTTTTGTAATTAGATGTCTCTCGGTATATACACTAACTAATTTCATTTATTTTATTTATGTCATTTTATTTTTATTTTTATCACTTTTAGTATTGAATATCCATCATTGTGAAAATAAACCGAGAATCTTGTGGTTAAAGCAGTTTCTATACACTTTCGTCTTAGAAAATTGCTTTCGTTTCAACTAAATATGTATTTTTTTTTTTACATTGAAATTATGGTCAGACTTATTACAGTGAACAGCTAATGTTCTGAGTGTGTATTTTAGTAAAATCACTTTTGTATTCATATAATTGTTTATTTAAATTCTTCAAAATTTCGCCTATATAGTCCGTGTCATAATTATAACTGGTGATAAGGTAAATTTAAGTATTAGAGTATTATTATTTTGTTTTGTATTAATTACATATCTTATGGTTTTAGAAGTAATTGTAACATTTTATGTTAAGCTGAGATAAATTTTATTTAGTTGTGATAGAGTTGGTTGAGGGAATATTTTGATTCCTTGGTTTTGATAGATTGGTCCACTGCTCAGTTTTTAAATATTTTGCGAGCCTTATATTTCGCGTTGAATATGAAATAATTACGGTATTGGAAGAGCTTAAAAATATTTTGACTGTTTTTCTCCTCTTCACACAAATATTGAGGTCTACAAATTCTGAGTGCTCTTATATATAACACGATCCTCATTCCGGGTTTTATTTTGTGGTTATGGTGAGAGTATAAATTTATGAGATCATTTGTATTATTTGATTTG